TCTGAATCGTAGACCTTACATTCTATTACGTGAGAGACTGAACCCTATTCCCTGCAGCAGTTGACGATATATACATCTGCCCAAGGACTTTTATCACGCGTGCACATAATAAGTGCTGCCTGGTCCACAGGTATTCAACTCTCGTAGTGACCACTGACTATGAATGAAACACGGATAAACGGCTGAAATATTCTCAAGTGAACTATACGCCTGAATTCCTTTGACGGGCTGGTATGAAATTTGAGTGCTATATCTGTTCCATTGTATTACCATACTATGTTAAGGTTTTTGTTCGCCACAAAACAGAGTCGAGCAAATTGATTTTGTAGGCCATTATAACTTAGCGAGTGAGATTCTAACTCGGTGTCTGCAAATTGTAGGGTTTGTTTTTTTTTTTTGTCATACTATTTGAAAATATATAAAAAACATTATACATACAAACAAAATGTAATCGTGAAAATGTAAGTGATCATAAGAGGCATGTTTCTTGACAACGTTGGCTGCGCGCACTTTAGAGAGAGCTAGAAAGCAAATGACATTCTCATGTCAATAGAGATGTCATCACTGTTAAAATAGAAAAAAAGAAAAGCAAAAGAAAAAAGAAAAACATAGCGCTGTAGACTGAGTGAAATGATCAAATTTACAATAGTTACAATTATAATCTTTTATTTGCAAAGTGTCTTTAACTAGAAGGAAACTAGAGATTCGATTCTGCATAAATTTGAACTTTGCCGCTTCAATAATAATTCAGAATGTTTGGCCTGTGAAAAGTTGCATAGAAAAAAAGGACCAAAATAAATAATTAAAAATAAAATTTAATTTTTTTTAATAATATAAATGGTTGACGATTTGTTCAAATTTAACAATATGAATTTTCTATATTCTACTTGTTGTCAAAGTAACGAAGGCAAACAACAAAAACTACATCCGACAGTAAGGCCTCTGATCCGGAGATTGGAGGTTTTAATTGTTGTTGTTCTCAGGTTCACCCTGACACGGTGTAGTAGTACCCGTTAGGGCCCTAGCTGTGGGCAAATAGTAAACCCCCAAACAAAACACTGTGAAAGTATAAAAATACTAGCAATGCATTGTTATATGAAAAAGGAACAAGACATATTTATAGTAAAATGACCAACAATACATAATTATAGTAAAATTACCAAGAGTATGTATTTTACAGATATATTAAAAAGGAATACATTTTATTTGTAGTTAAATGTTGACAATTGCGTTCAAAATATATTTAGTTGAAGCATAAAATTGTGTTCAGCTTATTTAGATTTTGGCAATAACCCATAGCGGTGTTGACATTCTGCTAAACAAAACCAACCAACCAACAAAGAAACACAACAAAAAGTCATTTTCGCAGAGTAAAAAAAAATATTGTCGTCTTTGGAGCATTTTTATTTATAGCAACATTTATACGACATCAGATCTAAGGTACACTAGACAAATCCCGTGATTTCATCACTCTTTCAGAGAAACAATTATGATGGAATAAGAGAACTATTTTTTGTACCCAGCTCTCTAAACATATGCAAGTAAGCAAATAAATGTATTTTTATAATTAGCATCTTACAGTTATCTCCCTTGCAAAATCTTCTCTCCCACCCTCAAGTTCATGAGAATGAAGATCCCGCAATATTATCATTCAGGTGCAAATCGCTGTATCCCTTTAGGACGTGGGCGATCATGGCTCTCTACAACTTCCTAATCGTTGTATCTCTAAGCAAAGTTTGTCCTTTTGGAGCCCTCCCAATCTCTGTTCTGCTATCCGTTTACTCAAGTGCTCCACAACTTCCTACACGTATCTCTAAGCAATGTTTGTCCTTTTACAAGCCCCCGCTGTCTCTGTTCTGGCATACGTTTATATAAGGTGGTTAGTTAGGTACCCATAGTCCTCCACAACTTCCTAACAATTGTATCTCTAAGTAATGTTTGTCCTTTTGCGACCCCTCGCAGTCTCTGTTCTGCCATCCGTTTACACAAGTTCTTTAGGTGTGTTTCCTGCTGCACCTCTTGCCTTGAATATATATCATGTGTGTGCGAAATTCACCAGGCCCTCTTTCCTCAGTATGATTCCCAAAATATCAGCTGTCTCTTTCTGATTTCAAGTATAAGTTTCCTTTTCGCCTCAATTTTCCTTAAATCTTCCTCGTTGTTCACATGCTCTGTCCATGATATTCTCACCAACCTCTGAAGAACCACATCTCTGTTGCCTCAAGTTTCCTCGTAATTATTCAGCATTCACTGCCATATTTCTTCAAAGATTTAAATGCAATGTCAATCACTATCTTCTGTCATCTTAATTCTTGTTCTTTTATTGCCCCCCTCTCCTTAATTGTATTTTTCTCATATTCTCTAACACTGAGTAAACCCCCTTGCGTTTTAGTGGTTTTTATTGCCTTGCTCGGGGCGAAATGATTGAAAGAAATATTAGAGGTTTTATATTACATAGCTGTTCAGCATTCGCTTTAATTAAATTACTTTAGTTACATTGGACAGTGTGAGCAACCTTGAAAGTCGTACTTTTTTTTTGTTTTGTTTTTGTTTTGTTTTTTTTTAGCTGACCCCATTATATTAGCATTTATTTTAAAAATCAACCGAATTGGGGAGGGGATAATTTACTACCTCTGGCTACGAACCACAATTTCGGCTAGTTAGAGATTACAGACAGATGTACAAATTTTAGTATTATAGAGATAATGAAAGGATTACTAATTTTAGTATTATATAGATTATTAAAGGATTAACACAAGCCTACTGCAGATGTTCGAATTCCTTAGATGAAGCATTTTCATTATTAATTTTTGTACTGTCCTCTACTTTCACAAGAGATAGATCAGGCCAAACATGGGAGTATTGCTGCCATATATGGGCAAGAGGTTCCCAGTCCTCACTTTCCAGTCTTGATAGAGTCCAAAAACGTCTCCGCGTCCTTATGGGTGACAAATTATTTCCTACCTTACAGCCCTTTTCTCACAGACGTGGCGTCGCAAGCCTCTCGCTGCTCTATCGCAATATGCATGGTTGGTTGGTTGGTTAATTTTGTTGAGCGGCATATCAACAACTCTATGGGTTATTTAATGCTGAAATCTAAATATTTTGTACGTAATTTTATGCTTTCAGCTACAGATATTTTGTATATAATTTTATATTTTCAGCATAAAGGTATATTTTTTAAATATATATTTTGTAGATCATAAAATGTGTTGTTGGTAATTTTATTATAAAAATATATCTTTATAATTTTTTTTTCTTCTGTAGTGTGGCAATGATTGCCATTTTGCTATAAAAATGTATTGTTTGTACATTTTATTATAAAAATGTCTTGTTGATTTTTGCTTGGGAGTTCACTATTTGCCCATAGCTGGGACCCTAACAGATACTACCACCCCGGGTCAGGGTAAACCTGGGAACGACAGTAGTTAAGAGGTGGTTCTACGTTCCTCAAAACCACCAATCCTCGGATTAGAGGCCTTGCTGCCAGATGTAGTTTATTATCATACCCAGGACACTATCCCCATAAAAAGTGTTCAGATGAACTACATTACTTAGTTCCACCAGTTCTAGTCTTCACGGCTATGACCTTCGATTCCACGCATATTGAAGCGACCCACCCTCATTCCGTTCGTATTCCTTTGGTGAGATGTAAAGTTCAATCGAGCAGTTTCTTCCTACGAACTACTGCCTTGTGGTGACGAATTATTTTCCACCCGACAACCCTTTTCTCACGGATGAGACGTCACAAGCCACTCGCTGCCCTATCGCTATTTCCATCGTAAATGTTCAAATGAACTACACTCCTTAGTTAGACCGGTCATAACCTTCACATCTAAGACCCGCCACGCCTGCCACATTGTAGCACACCACGCTCATTCTATTCGGATTTCCCTGGTGGGATGAAGATTGGACAGAAGTTCCATTGTAGCAACTTCTTCCCACGAACCACTACCTTGTGGAACTCGATTCACAAGAAGATGCTTCTCCAATCATTACAATCTTAACAAGTTCAAATCTTCCAGACATCGAGTGTCCCTCATTTAATAGATTCCACTTATTAAAGGGAAACAAGGACAAAAATTACCCAGCTACCTCAGCAATTGTCTTTTGGTACACCTCAGGCATTAAGATTTAATTAAGAACCTACCACTTTTAGTGCATCCTTATATTTATTATTGCCTCGGCTACGGAGACGTCCTGCTGGGTCGGGTAATAGACAGTTATTAAATTTAACCAAAATTACCAGTACCAGTAAGAATGTTAGAGATGCTGGAAGCATGGTCGGTTCATCGTGCCGCTCCAGAAAGCAACTGAATCCTACTGCCATACTCTATCAAAAATTCTTTATGTAAAAACATTCGGTATTCATTGACAGAGCAGTTAATGCTGCTGTCGGTTGAAATTTATAAAATCTTTCACTGAAACAATTTTTCAGGAAAATAGTTTTCTCCAGTCCAGTATCTTTCCATTATTGATTGGGTTTCCTTCCTCGCCTTTCGTCTGGGGTAATGTGGAAAATCAGCATCTTGATTATGTGATTATTCTCTATACGAGTTATATGTGCAATCCATTTTAGCTGTTGCCGCTGTTGAAACTCCCCAAGAGATGTGGTTTCTATTATCTGTTACAGTTCTTTGTCTGTGATCCTGTAGCGCCAGTCCACGAGGTCCGAAGAAGGACGGTCCTCGCTAAGACTTACAGGCTTCGTTCGCTCGAAGACATTTTTTAATCTGAGAAAGCGGTTGTATGCAGCCAATAGTTTACATATTTCTAAACGAGTTTGGCGCCATTCATGGTATCCATATGAAAGTCTTGATCTGAATGGGACTAAGGGATTCTCTAATTCAATATTTTTAATCTTTTCATAACCGTGAAATTTAATTTTCAGTTTTTTTTTGTTTTTTTGTTTTTTTTGCTAAACATCTTTTCTTTCAAATTGTCCTAAATTTTGTTTTCTGTTTCTTTTCTTCCAGACACCGCTCTGAGACAGAACCAAGATGGGACAAGGTATGTACTGACTGCCAGTTTTATGTCATTCCAGGTCACCTTAACTCAGGCCCGCCCAAAACTCTTTTGATAATATATCCGGGTAAACGAGAAACAAATACAACTAATTAAATTGCTGCATGAAAACTTGTTATTCTTTGCAGTGCATATTTGCGGCCCAGCAGCCCTGTCTATACAGTAGGATACTTCTCCATGAATCTGTATCCTAATGATTCGATTGCTGTTTCTGGGGTTGCTTGTTCGTTACCCTAACACAGCAAAAAGGATAGTGTTATGCGATGTCTAAAAGTACAATAACATTAAAAGGCTCTAAATTGAAAAATAAAACAGCTTTCAGATCAACTTAATAATAATAATGGAGGTTCTGCGTTCGTACTCACCCCAGTAATAATGATCCAATTTTTGAATAGTGTGTTTGTTACGAAAGATTAAAAGAAATTAATTCCATGGCAAAGGCGGACGTAGGTTCAAATCCTAAATTTTTCTTTAATAAAATTTCACGAATGTACAGAACGGTAGACGAAATAAAATACTGTTTAAAATAAACGGAGCGTCTACTCAAATATGTGTATCCACTAAAAATAACGTTTAAGTGCTGAATAACATGTAAAAAATGTTTTTGCCAAAATTTTCAAAAGTAATTTGATTCATTTGTGAATAAGTCATGAAAGTTTCATTAAAATCCAACAATTACTTGATATTTTTCAGGAATTTCCAAATCAATGTGTTTTCCATCATAAAAAAGCGCTAAGATTTCCTATACTAATCTTTGACACTCCACCCCGCTGACGTAAAAAAAAAAGAACAAGATTTTTAATCAAAATTTCAAATATTTTATTTTAAAAATATAATTTAATAATCAAAGAATCGTTTAGTCTTATTTCTGAATAATAACATAACGATTTTGAAGATAGACCTTTGTTTTCATTAAGTTTGGGGCATTTTTTTCATCATGGCATGCTCATTTTTAGTGAATCTGTGAAGGTACCTAACATATATATATATATATATATATATATACATACATGTATATATATAAGTTATTTTCAGATAGCATGTACCGGTGAAGGAACGACAAGAATAAAAAGAGACAAAAGGAAAAAGTATTCTTAGCCGACGCGTTTCGTCCTCGGAGTGACTTTATCAAGGCAATGTAGGATTTATTTTGTTGCACGTGTTTGTATAAAAATGCGAGGATGTCATTAATTTATCAAGGCTTTTGAATTTGAGAAAGTCCATGAATGTTCATCAGGTGATTGAAAGATCAGTCCAAGTATGTGGAGGGCACAAAGTGTCATAATTCAAAGTCTATATTTATATATATATATATATGAATATGAATATTTCCACGGTTCTTGGCATAGACAATGTCACTTCTTAACCTTTAGCACTCTGCATTATTAATATTACTTCCCTTTCCACTGCATTCTTTTTCAGAGCTTCTCAATTACAGTAACATAATTAGCTTCATTCAAAGGTGTTTTATGTTGCCATAGCAGGATATGACAACACAACTTTGAAATTCAAACAAATTCAAATTCAGGGATCAGAATCACTTTCGGTGGAAGGATAAACTTTTTACACAACAAATGAAATCACGTACAGAATGATAAATATTAATGCTCGAGTTAATTATTTAACATGCGTACGGTATATATACTAGCATTCTAAAATATGAAATATTACTAATTTTGAGAAGTGTCTGGTTCCTGGGATTTCGGATAAAGACTGGTTAGTTATAGTAGGACGAGGACGTCGACGCAACCGGTTTAATATGTAACTCTTTAAGAACACAACAAACCCGTTTTTTTTTTGTTTTGTTTTTTTGTTTGTTTACACTACCGTCTGGAAGCAAATAGAAACAATCAGCTTTAATCATGAAATTCCAATCAAATTGAAAAAGAGAAAAACAAAAACAGGACAGAAAGACAAAAGAGAAAGTCGACAAACAAATGTTTTCTTCGTCCTAACTTTCTTGGTTTTCCTGTGATTTCGGGTCAGTTGGTTCAACGGTAGATTATCAAGGTTGTTGATGTCGGCCACCCGTTTGTACAAAACAATGGATAAAAGGTAAGGAGTGGAGAGAAGAAAGTTAATACTGCAGGAAAGTGTGGGTAGATGTCAGAGATAAAACGGGTCAAGTTTGGGCCTGACTAAATCACTTTTAGCATTCGCGATTAATGCTTAGTGACGACAAGTCAAGATTGCATAACGAAAATAGTTTAAGGTAAACATTCCCTGGGATAGACTAAAGTCGTCTGAATTTTTTAAAGGAAACATTTTCATTAACCCATATCCTACTGGTGGGAATTTCAAATTAGGCTTCTTTTTTTCGTGTGTCTAAATTATGAATATAAACTATAATTTTGGAAAGGGATAAATTAATTATAATATGTTGGAAGTTCTCATCCGAAATTTCATCTGAAATCAAGAAAATACAAATTTTATGCAAAGTGGTTGCAATATATGGAAAAGTGTGGTGCCAGGGGGAATAAATTTTAGACAAGTTTTTCTTATCTTCTTTGTTGCTTTTTATGGGAAAACGAAATATATGACTGAATTAAAAAATCGCCTGCTGATCGCCAAATCGGCGTTAGTTATATACGAAATAATATCTTCATCCTTGTTGTAGTTATCACAACGTTTTGGTTGTTGTACTCCCCTGCCTTCTTCAGGTGTCTGTCGATCCTACATAAGCATTATTTACATACCATCTAATGTTATTGTTATTATCACAACGTTTCGGCCCTTGTGACCTTCCCCGGCCTTCTTCAGTTGTCCGTCGACCTGAAATAAGCATTATTTACATACGAACTAATGTCCTCATCCTCAACGAGTATAATCTACATAAACAAAGGACATATTTCCTGAAGGTTAAACGAATCAACAGATACCTGGAGAAGGCCGGAGATTGAACCGTGGTATAATATTCAACCTTTTCCTAAAGGACGCCGAGTTTATCTCTCGAGGGCGATATTGTCAAGAAGTTACTACCTTGATAAATCGAAGATGGAGAGATTTGAACCTGGGCCTCGTGGTCGAAACGTTAACGTTTTAATCCTTCAGGCATGCGTCATTAATTACTTAAACTAGTAGCGATACCACAGTAACAAATGGTCTGAAGATGGCTTAAGGCATGAAACTGACAGTTACCCTGCAATGTTGATTTCTATATTTATAACTATAAATGTTCTTTAATCAGTCCACCCCAAGTAAGGTGATAACTTCAAGACACAAGGAGCTACTGGAAATGAAAGAGAAGGAAAATTCTTTAGAAGGAACTGGAAAGCCAATCCTAAACAGGAAACAAAGGATAAACCTCTACTCCTGACGATAAGTGAACTTATCTACTCCTAAAATACTGTGCACTCTGTTTATATATATATGTGTGTGTGTGTGTGTGTGTGTGTGTGTGTGTGTGTGTGTTGCCGATCAGGCAAAGTCGAATAGTGCCTTATGAACGCAAGTCCTTCTCAGTCTTACTTCTTTAGAAATTGCTTTGTTTACGTTTGACTACGAAATTGTGCAGATATGAACTTTCGCGAATCTGAGAAGGATTTGTGTTTATAAAACACTATTCAGCTTTACCTGATCGGAACGCCCTCCGTGAATCTATTTAGAGCACCTTGGATCTAACGGCGGTTTCTCCTGCATATATGTGCACATATATAGACGTAATGCGTACACAAACTCACGCACATACACACTCGTGTACACAGATACACATACATACACACACGCGCATATGCACACAAACACAAAAAAACATCAACCTAACACCAATAAAAACGCATAAATTATTTTTTAACTCAATATAAAAATAATGAAAATGAGAAAATCGACAGACAATTACTGATACCTCCTGACGAGTGGACGAACAATTCCAAAAATGTTCGTCTACGAGACTCCGGAATGGGGTACTGAATATAACATCAATCCTGTAAGTGACAAATGTTATATAGGGGGCTGTGCATTCAAGTGTGTTTAAAAATAACGCATAAAAAATTATAGTTTGACCATCTAAATGACGTCACCTTGAGTGACTTGAAATTAGTTCCATGAAACGTAAGAATGCCAAAATTAAACAAAACAGTTGCTTAAATATACACAGAAAAATCCTTGAAAACATATGTAGCAACAGTCGAAAGTACTCGAGAAGAAAATAATACAAAATAAAACTATGAACTTTGGCAAAATTACCGATAACACAAAACACCTAATTCGCAAATCTGAAAAATTACATAAAAAAATGATAGACAGACATTGCTTTATTTGTTCCCTGATTAGATGTTGCTTATAACGACGTGTTGTGAATTAATGCTCGAGATTTTGAGTGTGTTTATTTAGTTCTTCATTGTTGGAACATATCCTTCTGAGTCTAAGTGCTTGTGAATAGGGAAGGTTCTCTTTGAGGTGTTTAGGGTGGGAAGACTTAAAGTGTAGATAGTTGTGGGTGTCGGTGATTTTAGTGTGTAGTGTCGTTTGTATATATATTACTAAGAGTACTTATGTCCGCTATTGTTTCAATAGGATCGAACTCAAAAACCTAGCAAGATGAGAAAGTTAAGTATTGTGCGAAAATTGAAATAAAATTGATAAATAAGATAATAATCATGAATAATTTAAAAAAAAAGAAAAGAAAAGCCGGAAAGGGTTTTTGGTTACATGCGCGATTTTATCACCGTCCCTACTTTCGAAAAGGACATAAACTTTCTCTTTTCCACTTTCCAACGACATCGTTCGGATGGGTTTTGACAGCCCTACTCATGAAGCAATTGAATTGGTCGTTCCAACTCCGATCCAAACTAACTTGAGCTCGACCATTTAAACCATTGTTATCCTAACCTCTTAACCAAAAAAGAAAACGGACATTGACAACTTTTTTTTCACTAGTCACTATAAAAAGAATACATGTCTGTCGTAGAAACTGAAGTATTCTATGCTTCTGTTGCGGGTAATTCTAGTGTCCGGGTAATAAATGAAGAAACTAGCAACAAAAC